GGATGCACTGACAGTGAAGGGTGTTTGTGGGTGGGGTTTTTATGTAAATGGAAAATTTGTGAGGCAGCAGCTCCTTCATCTGTGCCCCGAGTGCTAAAGTTAGACAACTTAAAAGGAAATAAAGGAAATGCAAATAAATTATGTTTTGAACAAATGTGACCTTCCCTAAGAAAAGTCCAAGGCTTTATGGAATAGAGTCTCAAATCACACAATGAGGTCAAAGACCTCATGGAGTCAGTGCTTCACGCTGGTTTTGGTGTGTCCCTGCTGAGCAAGGGACAGAGGACAACTCTGCTTTCTGTCGCCAGCAGCTGCTCACCAAAGGGCTGACACAGGGCTCCTCAGTGCCTGCCACACAGCCCTCACAGAGATAAGGCTTTTCTGACATCTGTCCACAGACTGCTCCCAGCTTCTGGCTGTTTGAAACACTCCAGCATATCCTGCAGCAGTGATAACCATGACACACAAACCTATGTGGCTCCTTTGTCTGTCACTGAACTAAGAGTGCACATATCAGGCACTGCTTTAGGCGCTTCCACAGCTGCCCTGTAAACCCTCACAAGTTACATACTTTAGGGAGCAAKATCACAGAATCACAGAATGGTTTGGGTTGGRAGGGACCTTAAAGATCATCTAGTGAAGGTGTCACTGAGTTATGTGATATTTGACAAGTTAGGAATGGCACCCATTAGATAAAGAGAGAAACAAGATGTGAACTCAGGGGATCAATCTCTGGAGACACACTGGAACCGAGTAACTTCTGAAAATAGAAAGGATAATTGAAGGCACTCAGCTGGGAGGACACTTTAATTCTCGTGGTGCTTGAGGGGTGATTCTCAAGCCAATCTTCATCTTGATGTGGTCACTGAAGAGRGACCACTGTGAAGTGGAACTGCAAGTTACACTTGGGGTCCTTAGCACAAGACGTGGAGCTGCTGGAGTGAGCCCAGAGGAGGCCACGGAGCTGCTCCAGGACTGGAGCCTGGGCTGGGAGAGCTGGGGGTGCTCACCTGGAAGAAGAAAAGGCTCCAGGGAGAGCTCAGAGCCCCTTCCAGGGCCTAAAGGTGGCTTATAAAAAGGAGAGGTACTTTTAGTATGGGCAGGCAGTGACAGGACAAGGGGCAATGGCTTTAAACTGCCAGAGGGCAGGGTTAGATGGGATGTTGGGGGGAAATTCCTCTCTGAGACGGCAGGGAGGCCCTGGCACAGGGTGCCCAGAGCAGCTGTGGCTGCCCCTGGATCCCTGGCAGTGTCCAAGGCCAGGCTGGACAGGGCTTGGAGCAGCCCGGGACAGTGGAAGGTGTCCCTGCCCATGGCAAGGGGTGGCACTGGATGAGTTTTAAGGACCCTTCCAACCCAAACCATTCTGTGATTCTGTGGGAYTCTGGTGCCAAGCACAAGTCATCAGACTTTACTTCTACCTTACACTGATAGCTGAAGTCTGTTCAGTCAGAAACACATTGATTTGGCCTCAGTTTTTCATTTGCAAATGCAAAGCTTATTGCAAAGGGGTAGATTTTGTCAAGGAAAAAAGCAGAACAGGATAAAAGTGATGAGTAAAATTCAGTGCCTGCAGTCCCACAGGTGGAGAATGAGGTCTCCCAGAGGTATGTGAACATCTGACACTCCTCAAGAGAGCCATGGTACCACAGCCCAGAACAACACAGGGGCCCTGCTTCAAATTTCTGCAGAAGAAACCATAAAATTCATMTCCCTCCACACTGACTCATGCCGACAGAACTGGATGAGGTATTTTGGAGAGGGGGGTACAGAACTGCTGTGCAATAAACCAAAGTGCTGCAATTTCATCGGCACTCAGAGACCTGGGCAGGGAGGCTGCTGACTGCAGATCCCATTTCAAGAAAAGCAGGAACAACTATGTGAARTGCTAACTAATGGAATGAACCTGAGAAAATACCACAACTACTAACAAAGCAACTAAAGTACGAGACAACACTATTTATTACAGAAATCAAAGCAATAAATCAAGTATTCTGAACAGAACGTTTTCACTAGCCTTTGATTTATGCCACTGTGAGGAATCCCATTCATGTCTCTAACACAGCTGGGGAGAAGCAGATGGGAARTGGTCAGTACCACAGGAAACCCTCCAGAACTGCTAAAAAACACCTTTTGTTGCTTATTTTATCCATTTTATGCATCTCGATGTTGTCAATACATTATTTGGCCAAGTTCTGTACCGTACTCCAGTCCATCCCCTGCACTTGTGGCAAATCTGCRCTCACACTTACAAAGTCACGGTGATGTGATTTTATTGCTGCTGTTACCACCACCATTATTATTAAAAATCAATAACGTCGGTTGTTCAGCAAAATACCCAGTACCAGAATCGACTGTTGTACATCTAGCAATTACTAACACATTATCAAATCCATACAGTGCAGGAAGGGATCTCTCCCCCTGCACGGAGAGCTCTGCTTTTGGCAGTTTCTCTAATTTATTAACAGCAGCAGGTACTTCTGCAGTGAGAAAATTAACTTGTACCACTGCAGTCTGTGAAGTCTCAGCAAACCTGAAGTACAGCACAGTGATAAACCCTTGGCATCCATATGGGATTTGCCATCTCATCTCTGATGAAACACATTTTAACCTGTCAGTCTCCTGACAGCTTTTACTCGTCTCCTTCTTCTACATTTCATTCTGTGATTTTAAAAAATTGGCAGCTCCCATAGCCTTTTACCAAAAAAAAAAAAAATCCAATCAAAATGCATTTGAACCATTTTCTATGTCTACTCTCTGAATCCAGAGCTAATCATGCAATTCCCCAAGCAAATTAGAATCGGCAAAAGCTTGTGTATCAGACTTAACACAATGCTCATTTTACTTTTTATAYATAAAACCACAAATTCACGTCCGAAAATTAGAGGCAAACTAGCAGAGCATAGCAAAGCAAAAATCTATGAGGAGATGGAAGTACCTGACACTCTTGGTTTCCATCTGCCTTGTTCTAACTCACATTTTTTAATTTTAGTTTTAGCAAAGTATTAAGCTTTTGGTTTCCTCCTGCAGAAGCCAGAAATTGCTCTTGGAAAACAGACAGGGCAAACTGTTTCCACAGAAAAGAAATGCTCCAGTTTCCAGCTGAAATATGGGAAAATATTTTCCCTATATGCACTTCTACTATCTTTCTCTGACAGTAATATTCAGCTTCTTCTACAGCTTCCAAGGAAGTCCCAAGTCTACTGGCAAATTCGAAATGTTTGACAAGCACAATTTGAGAAAGCCTCGTGGGGAAGCAGTGATTAGAGAAGGCAACTGGCAGCTGGGAAGCCCACGCTGTATTCCCTGTTTCATTACTGATGTCTCTGGATGACCTTGTCAAGCCATTTAATGCCTTTCTGCCTGCCTCTCCCTATCTGCGAAACGTTTCGATAAACACCTCCCTTTTGGAAACACTGCAAAGTTGTTTATTTTGGAAAGAGTTCTTCAGATGCTAAACTGGCTCTCGGGTGCAACATTGGATGGAAAACACACGGGCCACAGGACATGAATGTCAATCTAATATTTTCTAATTAAACCATCTAGATTAAACCAGACAGATTAAACCATGGCAGCTTAATAGGTTAACCTTGTCCCTGAAGGTTTTTTTTGAGATGAGAGAGTAGCAGCTCATTCTGTTTTAACTTTATTCCTATCAGCCAAGACAGCATCATCAGTGCAAACCATAAAGGTAAGAAAAAACAGGAAAAAATTGGCAGAAATGTAATTGTTTTGCTTAATATGAGTACTTAGCCAAGTTTCATCCTGATCAGATGTGCAATGCGGGCAGTGGGCAATGCACAGAACCGGGATTAAAGGCACTGGGGTGGCAGCCTCAGGCAGTTGATGGTTTAACTGTGGCTTATGGTGATGGGCACCCACAAGCCCATCTGGGTCAGTCCTCAATGGTATCTGGCTCCTCTGTTCCCTCTCAATGACCTTGACCAGCCCATCAACATTTTTATTGTTAATGGGCCAAGGTATGTACTATAAATGGAATATCTAAGTGCAGTCATTTCACCATCACTCCTTGTCCMGGGAAAGTGTAGCATTACATCACCGTAAGAGCACCTAATAGCTGGGAGTGGGTAAAGTAGGGAGAACAGTGCAATTTTGATTTACTAATCCAGCTCTTTGCTCACACTGGCTAAACCCATCTCACACACATTGAAAACAGCTTTTTCGACAGGCTCCAGTTTAGGTACCACGAAAATGCCTGTTTCAACTCTGGGAGTGAACGCCATCAAGAAATCGAAAGGCAACTAAGAGTGTAGGGCAGCGTTTTTACTGGGTCTTGTGTTTCAGCCGAGGAAGGACGGGTTCTGACATCGTGGCCAGGTTCCACAGGTACATCACAGACAGCAGCAACAGCCCGCAGGAGCTTCACTTTTTCATCCTCCTCCTCGCTATGCATCCACGACCGCGCTCCTTCACACGCAACAAAATGACGGCCGCGGAGTCTGCGCTCTGCTCTCGCCTCGGCGGCGACGGGCGGACCCGCCACATCGGCACGGCCGGAGGTTGCTGCGGACTAGGAGGAGGCTGTAGCCACACTGCCCTCGGAGCGGGAGAGGACGAAGAGGAAAAGAAGGAAAGCAGGGACGCAGGAGCTGCCCACGACACCGCTGAGGGGAAAGAAACGACCGCACCTCATGGGGCACAAGAGGAGCAGCGCGAGCCCCAGCGCGCCTCGCGCTGATTGGCCAACAATTCCCGCCACTCGCTCTCTCCGTCTTCCTATTGGCTCGTGCTTCCCGCCCAGCCCCCGCGCGCTGCTCGTCGCCACGCCCCCTCAGAGCCCTCAGAAGCCTCAGAGCCCTCAGAACCCTCAGAGTCCTCAGCCTCCTCAGCTCCTTCGCCCCCCTCAGATCCCTCAGCGCTCTCAGCCTCCTCAGCTCCTTCGCACCCCTCAGAGCCCTCAGAACCCTCAGCCTCCTCAGCAGCTTCACCCCCTCAGAGTCCTCAGAACCCTCAGAATCCTCAGCTCCTTCGCCCCGCTCAGATCCCCCAGAACCCTCAGCCTCCTCAGCTCCTTCGCCCCCCTCAGAGCCCTCAGCGCTCTCGGCTCCTGAGAGCCTTCAGTTCCCTCCGATTCCTCAGAGCCCTCAGCGCCGCAATCCCTCATCCCCTTCATCGCGGGATGGCGGCGGCCGGCGGCGTTCGCGGCTCCGAACCCGGGCCGGGCTCAGCGCCGGGCAGCGCTGGCGACACCTCCCTCCTCGGCAGCGCCACAACGTGGCCTTTGAAGCGCTACGGTCGCTTCCTTCCCCCGAAGGGCGGTGACGATGAGAGGCAAAACACCTCTTGGAAGGTGCTGGCGGCGCGGGGAGGGTGGCGGGGCGGTGTGGCTCTGCTGTGAGGCAAACACGAATAAAGGAGGCCTTTCAGGTGTCTTTTTGCAACTCCAGAGCTAAAGCAGGAATCGGGAGAGATTTTGCTTCATGAATTATTAATGACAACACATGAGAGTTTGCATAGTTAGTGGCCCACTTTTTTWATTCCTTCATTCAGCAGTGACCTGAGGTATTAAAATCTAGAGATCAAGTTGGAAGAATCCAGAGGGTTGTTTAAAGTAGTTAAATCTGTATATGGAGGTATAATTAGTGAAAAAATCATTTAATGCAACTCCTGTCTGTGGGAGTGAAGGGCAGGTTGCATTAGTGAGATGTAAATTATACACCCAGCTTCTAACAGTGACCTTTGAAACCTTTTATTTGGCACTAGAAATGGGAATTGTAGATGCTGTGTTTACAGGGCCAGATTTTCCTCTGTCTGTCTTTTTAAAGGTGTTTGAATCAAATGAAGAATCAGGCCCTCTTGTCCTTACCATTGTGGTGTCTGGCCATTTCTTCATTTCCCAAGGGCGAACAGTGCTGGTAAGTTTGTTATGTATGAAGAATATTTTTCCTTCATGTTGCCGTCGGTATTAACTCTGTTTCCTTTCCCAGTTCTTCTCTCCCACTGAGTGGGAGCCGTCAGTTTTGTTTTGCTCATCGTAATTCTCATGTGCTGCTTTCTCTGCACATTTATCAGAATTATGCTAAATGCATTATTTCCTGCTGAGGATCAGCATTTCTTCTGCGGTTCTAAAAATCTAGATTAAGAGGTAATGCTAAGTGCTGCTGATGTTGAAAAATATTTGGGTTTTTTTCATGATTCTTCTGACTAAGAAAACAGATACACTGTTTAAAAATAGCTAAAACTATAATCTGTGAAATGGCCCAGCTGATTTCTTGCCAATGACCTGTCATTATTTTGGTTTGACAGGTTGGTTTATCAAAAGGTTTGTATTTYCTGTTTTGGATATTGAGATGTAACATACAACATACACCCGTGGAGACAAAATTCAAACTTGTGTCAACTGGTTTTTCTGTAGCCTGCACTTGTTGAGGCACAACCAGCTACTAAACTAAAGATTCCATAATGACAYCAAAGACTTTAAAAGGAGAATTCTGTCTGGAAGGAGAGGGTTTGATGCTCATGACATGGAAGACCTTGCTGGAAGGTGGAATTAAGTGTGTTCAGTGCACATCACCAGTACTCAGGGGTGACAGCGAGGAGGAGCTGGCTGATAAATATGTCAGAAAGGTATTACAAACCACTGGAAGATGCTGCAGTGTAAAGATAACAAAGCTTTTTTTAATACACAATGTGTAAGAGACTACATTGCAGTTTTAAATATGTATAAGCTTATAAATTGGTTTTTACTGTGCCTCTTAAAGGGTCTTTGACTTATAGAAATTTAAGTATAGGGGAGAACCAARGATACCCTTGAGTTTTTTGGATTGTGAATGTGTTGTTAGAAATATTGAACAGTTAATGCATGAGCTAACAGCAGTTACTGTGAATGGCCCTCAGCTCATATTTTCTAAGGACAAGAATGGAAAGTATTTTAGCAGTTGTGTTGAATAAGAAAAAAAGAAAGAAGAATTAAAAATGTAGATGGAAATGATACTTGCTGCCATCCCTTACCAAGTTCTGCTGTGAACGATTCAGTGCAGGATGCTCCTGCTACCAGTGGCTGTACCTGTTAGTGACCAGTAACTGCCATTACTCTAAAAGTCCTTGAAATAACCATAAAAGCTAACTGCAACTTTTAATAACTAACTAAAGTGCAAAAAAGGCACAACCCAAAGCTGCAGCCCTTCAAAGACTCGCCTGGCAAAGGCTRAATCTGGCAAGTAGCAGGGCAGATAAAAGTGCTGTCGGAAAGGATGAGGGATCAGAAAAGCTTTCTRAAAACTTGGCTGAGGAAAGCATTTTCTTGCAGCTCTTGTGTTTAGTGGCTAGTGAAGCTTTCAGGCAGCTGCTTTGCATGAAATGCCAGATGAGGAATTTCTGGGATCCATCAGGGCTGTTCCAGCTTCTAGGAGACACTGAGGTACTGTGGTAGCTATCACTTAGTGCAGGAGAGGTGGAACAGACATGCTTGGTAGATGTGACCAAAATATAGCACTGAGAGTTCAAAAGAAAAAAAAAAAAAGTTGTTTTGTGGTTTTTTTAACATTTATTTTGGCAATGCGTCTATGCCAACCTTAAAATCGAGACACTGACATTTAGAGAAAAGTTGTTGGTTTGACAAGTTGTTGATTGCTTTGGGTGCACGTCTGAGCAGGTGTGGTTGGGATGGYGGTGCAGGAGTGTTCTGTGCACACAGGACTGAACTGGTGGGAGGGGCACTGCTGTCTACTGGGACTGTGTGTATTTCTGAGACTGGGCCAGTTGTAGTCCTCCCACTTGTCCTCTTAAACAAACYTGAGTGGCTGAAAAACCCACCGAATACCCAATCTGCTCGTTTTCATGGATTCYCAGAGTGATTTGGGTTGGAAGGGACCTTAAAGCTCATCCAGTGCCACCCCGTGGCATGGACAGGGACGCCTYCCACTGTCRCAGGTTGCTCACAGCTCCATCCAACCTGTTCTTGGGCAYTTCCRSGGTGGGGCATTTTGCAGKCTCCTTCTTGAGATGCCAGACAACAACAAACCAACTTGCAGTGCTGCTCAGGCTGTGTTTTGCTCCAGAAATCATCAGAAATGGTTAATCTCGGTGGTTCCATCTCCCTCCAGTCCCCAGCTGTCAGCRCTGTCACAAACCTGTCACAATATTTAACCAGGCTTTGCATGCCTAAGTACAGACCGTGCTTGGAACCTGTCACACACCAAATCCACTCACTGGGGGTCCATTATCATGGACATTCTGTCAGAGGGGATAATGCACGACTTCTGCTCTAGAGGGAATGGATCGACTTTGATGGAATGCTGTAACTGTTGGCATGATTTTACTTGTGCTCTCTTTTCCTCTTGCTGGCCTGGGCTGGGCTGTGTCCTTTGGGTTGCCCAGGTTTCCCACTACACTGTGTGCTGCCTTGTGTGCACTGAAATTCCCTCTGATGCACTCACACRACTGTTTTGTGCTGTGTTGGTGCTGCATCCTTTAAACTGTGGATGTCATGTCTTTTGAGCTATCTCCTAATCCCTACTTTTCAGCCCTTTTGATGTGCTCCAGGCTACTGGGTTTGAAGGAACTGGATAAAAATTATTGTAGATTTGTACCTCTGTACAGGATCAGGGTGAGGCACAAGATCTGTGTCACAGGGATGCCATTTCCTTCTCAACAGGCAGAACTTGTATTTTTGTAACATTTTCATCGATGAATAATAAAGGGATTTTTTTCTGTTTCTCACTTATGAACAACATTTGCACAAATCTGAAAGAGTTGTRTAGAAAACTTCAATTTCATTGATGTCTGGATTAACATCTACAGTAGGAACAATATTGAAGTGTTTCTGGTTGCTATCAAAATTCTCTRTGATGGGTGTGCCTATGTATTCTCTTAGTCCTTTTAATTTTCCTTAAGCAGGGCAGTTAAGAAACCTTTCCCTAAAAGAATGATATTTAGAGTCCACTGGCTCTTTTATGATCCGTTTCTAAGAACAATATTTATAAAACAGCAATAAAATATTCACATATCCTAACAACTGCTTTATTTTTTTAATAAATACAGAAACAACTGTTTTCCTTTCCAAATACAATCTATTCCTTGTGTAATGGAATGAAGAGGAGGGTAAATGGAACTTCAGAGCATGGAACATAAAAATCCCTGATGCATAATGCAAATTAAAGGGTGTTTTGATTTGTTTTGTTCTATTTGTTTTTTTCTTAAACTGAATTCTTCATTTGGAATTAAATTACATAATGTATTTTTAGGACCTGCTTTTGCTGCAGTGTTGCCTAACAGACCGCATATTTGATGGTAGGAAAACCTCATTCTTGTATACTGTAGTCAGTGGAATTTTACAGGAATATCTCAACAGCATCTCTGTTAATTTCTGGCCATACTCAAGATCCATCATGTTCCATTTACCACAACTCTTATTTCCTTTCCTCTCTGTAGCAACACATCATGGAAATTATATTTTGGTGTTTTATTCAGTGCAATTATTTCTGGTGCTAGAATTCGTAACATCCTACAAATGAAACAAATTGAAATTGTGAAGAGGACTTACTTAATAGGATAAAATTAATCCAGAATAATTGATTTGTGACCTGATCTTTTGAAGTGTAGACTAAATGTCCTCAGTGCCCTCCTGGTCCCCTCATGACTTGTAATAAGCTACCAGTGCTTAGGGTGCAGTAGATTCTAACTCATTAATTAGGCAGGCATTCAGCAGGCATTCTCATATTCCTGATGCTCTCTTTGCAGTGCCTGAAACTCAGACACCAAATTTTGAAGATGAGATTCACAGCAGTGCCTTGGGCAGAGATGGTCCCTGTGCAATAACTGAGGGCTCCTGACAGAAGCCTGGGGAAGCGAGCAGGTTGCTAATGCTGCTTTGTGGTAGAGCACTGCAAAGCTACAGAAGGTTGTTCTTTTATTAAAGTTTTGTTGACTTATTTAGTACCACAATCGCAATTCAAAAATCTCAATTTCAGGTTGTTTATTTCAACATGTGCTGTTGATGTGATTGTTTTGGACAAGCTGAGTATCCTTCTGCATCAGCTTTCCCATTTATGTTTTATGTCAAGGGCTTCTGCTCTTTGCTTTTCTCTTGCCCCAATTCTCCTAAACCCACTTCTTAAAATATTTTTTTTAAGATTAGTGATGTCTATTAATGAAGTGTATTTAGCCTAAAGTTAGAGTTTAATATATGATATTGATCTAGGGAAGTATGTAYTTTATATTGGGAGTGAAAGGAAAAATTAATGGCATGCCCTTAGAGCTTTAGCCACTAATCCCTGAGCATCCCGTTCCCCTCTCTGTGTCACTGCTCTGAAGTGTAGGAAAAAAACTCAAACCAATTCAGGTTCTCACAGTGAGGTATGGAGGTTTGACCTCAGCTAGGGGCTTACCTTTGCTGTGGTCTGTACCCGTCTGAAAACCTCCACTGTACCCAAGTATTTCCATTTTGGTCAAAGCCATTCTTTGGTTGCCCAGTSCCCTCGGGGTGGCTGTGTGTGTGCTGCATTTCCTCCTTCCCTCAGCTCCCCWGCCTGTGTACACACAGAGCACTCAGGTTAATGAGTTCAGCCCTCGTTTGTTCTCTGCCACAATCAACTGGGCTTAACAGCAAGATTTCAGGGGCTGAGAGATTGAGGGTAGAAAAAGGATAATGCAGAGCTTAACATCCTTTATTCCTCACTCCTGCCTGGCTGCTGTGATTGTTAGGCTTGGAAATGTTTGCAGGGACAACTCTGTGCTTCCCTCACTCTACAGCTTGTCTTGCTTGGGGAATATTTTATTTTYGGTCGTGTTCTTCTTCTCTTGACTCGGTTTTCAAGACAGCTCATACTGCAGAAATGAAACRTAATGGATCTGGCCTAACTTAGATATTGGAAAAAGATACAAGTGAGGAAAATTTCTACTTCCAGGTGTGTTACAAGGTACTAATGAAGACTGAAATGAAATTATGTTAGAAGTTTAATTTTCACAACTTTATTCTATAGTCATTAATGAATTTTAACTTTTTAAATCTGCTTTAACTTTTTAAATCTGCTTATTCTAGAAAAAAAAAAAAGAGTAAAACAGCAACTCACTTTTCTCTTTTGGGAAGCCAAGGAGTTAATTGCTATTTTTCAAATATAAACAACCATTTGATTTAGGATTTATATGTAATGTTTCTAGCAAGTGCAATTTTTATTATAATAACCACTTAATAACTAAATCCTTATTGAGGTGATCACTATTGATCTCCACTTACCTGTAAACACCACCTCCAGTTTTGTTTTCTGAAAGCATCTCAGTTTTGCCTGTTACATTCTGCAATTCTTGAAGATAATTACAAGCTTTATCAGACTGCCTGCTTACACATCTTTATTTTTCCTGTCCTGTGAGACAATGGTTAATAACAGTCTTTGCAACTCCAGCATCTTAGTTCTCTTTTGATCAGAACTGCGGTGTGGAGACACCTGGAAATAACATTACCATTGCTCTGGTGCCAAATTTGCACTTCCAAGAGTAAGCAAGGTGTTCCTCAGTATAAATGTTTAATTGTAACAATACCCAGAATGTCACAGGCTAAAAATGTTGGTATTTGAGCTTAACAGCACACTCCAAACCTAGGCAGCGAATAATTTCTTGTGAAAAGATTGCTCACAGCAGCTCTGTCCTCAGTGTGGTGAGCAGAGCAGCCCCAGGGTGTGAAGCTCTGCTGGGGGGACAGAGCAGGTGGGCAGTGCCCCTCTCKGTTATTATTTATCCCCTCCCTGCAGATCTGTGAGCATTGCAGGAACTGGAGGGGGGTGCTCAAAGCTGCACCACACCCCAGCCTTCCCACAAAAGTGCTTTCCCAAATCCCTCCTTTGGCCTTGCCAGGGCTGTGTGAGTGGAGTGTGCGAGGTTTGCTCCCCACTTGTGTAGGGGTATCTTACCTTGGGAAAGGAAAGGGTTGAGGAGTTGTCTCAGGTGCCTCCTGGGGAACTTTGGAAATTGCTCTGTTTTCCAGGGAATTTGTGTCCCACCATGCTGCCCAGCCTGTGTTGCAATGGTGCAGGCAGGATGTTGACCGAGGCTTGCAGCTTTTCTGCCATCTTGCCTTAGTTTCCAGCACCCTGGCAGCTGTGCACTGTTAATTCATACAATAAAACTCATTTCATCTCAAGCTGACCTCATCCTTTCCTGCAAATGCACATTCCCAGGCTGTGGGATTCCCAGCTGAGTCCTTAATCCATCACACGCTACAATGTTATGTTCCTTTGAACTGGGAACTTGCACAACAAACTGRGGTATTGGCATTTCATGGTCCTGGTCTGAATGGCAGCCCAGACTGGAGAATGGATCTCTCTGGAGCATTCTGGGGTTTAGTTTGTGTTTTTTAATACTGCTTTTCTTTAATACTGTTTTCATTAATACTGATCTTTAATAAAGATCTAATAAACTTGTAATTTAATGGCAGATTAGCTCATGTTTGTGACCAAAAAACCCCAAACTTTTYCCCCTAAGCTATTGTTTACACATARTTTTGTTTGAAAACATCTGGCTTGTGCATGAGTAAATCCAAACTGATGCAAGCCAGCACAGCTGAACTGCTACACAAATAACATTTCTTAGATATAAAATCATTTTTAATTCACATAAGGCTGCAGTTTAAGAAAAAAACAGATAATCTGTTCCTGTGTTGTTTAGCACCACAGGGTTTCTAGATAATACAATAAAAAATATTCATAAATCACACACAAATACCTTCCAGCACAGCTCACAGCCCTCATTRCACAGCAGGCTCCTGAATGCTGAAATGTAAAGTCAGAACAAAAGTATTTCCCAGTCAGTGCTGCGAGGCTGGATCAGCATTTTGGCTTCTGCCCCTTGGCAGCTGCGGTCACATCTTGCCTGCTTCCAAAACATTTGGGAAACATCTTGCTTTGTTTTCTGCTTCAGCTTGATTCCACTCAGAGACCTCCTCTGAGAAACTCAGATTTGGGTCACAGATGTAGGAACYAATTTTGCTCTACTCTGCTTTTGTTACAATTACAGTGGTAGAGAACAACATGAGTTATGTGCCTGACTGAACATTGATGACCAAACTTAGGAAAGTGCTGCTATTTCTTCCTTCACATGGTAAACATGTGAGCTCTTGTGTCCCTGCCCCGTTRTAGGCTGCCTTTTGGGGATATTCTGATTAATCTTACACTGCCATCTGCCTTTGCCCCTGTCCAGCGCTGACTGAAGCAGCGATGGATGCTGCCTGCTCAAGGGAACAGGGACCAGCTGCTCTGTTCCCTCCTTTGGCAGCGTGGTGGCAGCACCGCTCCAGAGGGAAAGCTGCCTTTTTCTGTGTCACTGCCCATGCCCAGAGCACGTCCAGAGTCAATCCATCATCCCTGAGAGGCACRAATGCACTGGAATCTCGATGAATTGCCTGGCATTTCCCAGGCTCTGCCCCGTGCCCTGCTCCTGGGCATTGCAGAGACCCTCCTGTCTTTGAGCGTAGCTCAAGGGACACATTTATTGTGCTCTGAATTCATTCACCTGACTTTATGTGCACTGCCCCAGCCCTGGCAGTGCCCAAGGCCAGGCTGAACATTGGGGCTTGGAGCACCCTGGGACAGTGGAAAGTGTCACTGCCCATGGCAGGGGTGGCACTGGATGAGCTTTAAGGTGTGACTGTGTGAATACAGGGACAATGATTTTTAAAATAATGTTGTTAAATTTCACTTAAATCAAATTTGGGGGTTGGAGTTGGATACTCAGGAGTACATAAATAAAAATTCCAAATGCTGTTTTTTCCCACTTGTTTGACCTCAGAAACAGGACATATAAAAGAACAGCCTGGGAAAAGACAATAAAATAGTTGGTCAGAAAGTTAAACAGGGACTCTTATTATGATTTCTTTGAAAACAGCTATTATTTTAAGGACACATTTGCTCAACCTTCATGTCCAGTGAAAGGAAAAACACTGTAAAACCAGACTGAACATAGAAACAGCTATATTTAAATAAACAGTTGATGTGTCTCCAAAACAGAAACTACTTGAAAGGAACAGAACAATCACAAGTGGCCACAAGTTCAAGTGGCCTGTTGAAGGAATGGTTTAGCATTGCTCCACTGACAGTATTTTGGGGCTTGCTTCCACCTCTTCCCATTGCTCACCAAGTGAGATCTCCCTGTTTTGACCCTGAGATCTTTCCCACCTTACAAGTTCTACCTTAGGGCACTTTGGGGAGTAAATTCAATGCAGACACACYGCAAGGGACTGGCCCCTCTCACCTGCTGTCAGCACCTGCGTTTACAATGCACAGGGAAATCCTTTGCTCCMTCTGACCCCAAATCTTTTGGGAATGGTACTTTCCCTGCTGCCTSACATTCTGGAGTCTGTCATAGCAGATGTCTGCAATCCACTTTGCCTTTGGTTCAACTCTTCACAGCTTTTTAGAGATTTCTTGGTGAAAGTGCAGTTAAAAATCTTCATGCAATTGCTGCATGAGGTTGTAAAGCCAGTGCCAGCACAGTAAAGGGGTAGAGCCCCTGAGGTGATCCCTGTACTAGAATGGAAGGTTTTCCAGCCTGGACCAACCTCAGATGGATGGTGGCTGTGGCAAACACTGTTGGCCCTCCAGGCTGGACATGACCTGGGGGGTTTGACCCTTAGGACGCCTTGCAAAGCAGCCTGGGCCAAAGCCATGGTCACTGAGAGTACTGTGAGCTCAGATAAAAGAGGTACCTGATTTCCTCCCTGCGCTGACAGTCGGTAATTGTTTGGCTTTTTTTCCCTTGGACTTAGTGCTAACTCATGTTTCCAGGTGCCTGGGGAGACACAGACCGTTGCCTCGCAGTTGTTTTGTGATGTTTTCCCCTTCCTGGGGTGTTTTTACAGGCGGCTGAGCAGTCTGTCCAGTTTGAATAAACTGACAGTGATGCAGCTGGAGTATAAAAACATCTTTATCCAATTAGCAAAGCTGCTGCTCGTTTCCTTGAGTGGCACCCGGAGCCAAGGCGGGGCTGTGTCATTCGTCGGATTCGCCTGCCCTCTGCTGCCCTCCCGGGCAACTTCAGCATTCAGAGCTCCGAGTGCAGCTGCTTTGTTCTGGATTGGAGGGACTTTCACAGCAGGCACAAAGATAAATGTGGAGAGGGATGGAAATTAGAACATACCTTGACAGTGTTGTTAYTGCGGCTACAGATTCAATCCCTCGAGTGGTAAAAATTCCAGTGGCAGCTATTTGACAGCTACAAAACTACAAGACTACACTGACTGATCTTCATTAGGGCTGTAATTAAATCACAGAACTGAAGCATGGTGTTGCTGTTTGCTGAGCCACTGGTTTGTGTCCTGTTCTCTTTCAGGAAGGCTTTTCCCTGATTGATTCCCACAAGTGGCTGAAGATAGTGAGGAGAGCAGAGTGCCTGCTGCTCCGGGCACACGCCAAGGTGAGCTGAGCTGCTTGGAACACCCCAAGTATGTAACAGAGATATGGAGAAAACCTCATAATATTGGCTAAATTAAAAGTTTAAAATTGTCTATRTAAGTTAATTTTTCTTTTTACACCAGACACTAAACAAGAATTGATTGAATAATCTTGGTGTCTTTTCTAACTGTTAATATTCAGAGTTTTTAGACTGCTAAAACAGCCAGAGTAGTTTTATTTCAGTGTCTGCCCTGGTTAACAATTAGAAGATGAAGTGAATCTCTTCCATGCTACCTCTGAGCCAGACTGCACTTCAGGAAACAAACTCTCTAACCCAGTAATTACTGAGGCATTTTGTGGCCCCTGGCACAGCAGCAGCAGGCTGGGATTAAGGTATTTGGTACTCAAAGAATAAAAGGAACATAGCTTTCTGCTGAAAAGCAGTTGGTTTGCCTTTACATAATCAAATAGTACTTCCTTGCCAATTTATGTAAAAATCTCAGGGTTTTGGTTCTTAGATGAACTCTGATATGCTGTAAGTATCTTACTGTTTTAAGTCCATGGGTTATGAATCCAAATGAACTGCTTTTTGTCAGCTCGTTAGAAATCCTGGAGCCAGCTGGGGCAGGAATTAGTTCTGATGAAGCTGCAGGATGTTCCCTTCCCAGTCACCAGAGCCAGTCCCTGCAGCATTAAGGGATTCTGGTGCTCCTCACCAGCAACAAAAAACCAATATCCCAGTCGCTCCCAGGCTTGAGCAAAGCTCTGAGGGGCAGCGCAGGCAAGGAGAATATTAACAGAGTCTGAGATTAATTTGGTGCATCTCAATGTTTACATACCATAAATTCACACAACTGCATTCAATGGCACTGCAGTGATTGTACCAGAGTTTCTCTGCTTTCTATCCTGACTGTGGGTGTCACTTCTGTGTGCATCTTTCTGATAAATTTCAGCTTTATCTTGTACTCCTTGGTTTTTGTAAGTCATTAATACTGCATTTACAGTGGAACTTTGCACTTCAAATACCACTTCAGTAGGGCACTGAGGACTCTTAGCCAGCAGAATGAGTTTCAGAACTATCAACAGCAGCAAGACAAATGTTCTTAATATTTTTGGAATAGATCTTCTTGCCTCATATTGTTTTCCTTGAGCTCAGCCCACCAGCCAGCATGGAAGAGGTGCAAATTTAATGATTTTGTGACCTGCGGGATCTTTAATACTGCAGCTCTTGTATGGTTCAGGTGTGATTGCCCAGTACTCAGCTTATGCTATAAACCTTGACATATCACAGCTCTCTTCCCACAAAGGAACAATGTTTAATTTTCAAAGTTCACTGTTGTTTATAAACTGCAATCTGCAGTATTTAACAGTCCTTGTGAGAAACCCCAGGGAATCCAAATAGCTCAGCCTCAGAATTGATTTGGGGATCCAAACAAGCAAGTGGTCTTTGAAAGTCTCCAAAAGAACCCAACCTAAGTTCCCTTTCTGTCACTGAAATGAGAACTCACCTGTCTGGCATCCCACAGCTCAGTGCTTGGGTCTGGGAGGCTGCCCCAGTTCCTTAATTAATGAGCAGAAATCCAGCTGGGCACTGGTACGTGAGCACTGCACTTCTCATCAGTTTGACATTATTCCCTTTAAAAGGCACTGAGACAAGCTTTTGTGCTTACCCTGCCCTAAAAATCATTTTGTRTGATTCTGACATCTTTAAATGCCAGGCATGTAAACACAGGGGCTGTCAGGAAGAGCTGGCTCATCGCTGAGACAGAAACTTTAAACTGAGAGGTGCCCTCGCACTCGTGTTCTGGCAGCGCGGAATTAAAAACCAGCATTGGAAATGGATTTGACGTGGGAACCTCAGCAAGATGAAGACCCAAATAGGCCAGGCTGRCCCAAGGAGAAGTTGCTGTTTCTCTAGTACTTTAAGTGTTTTAAATATGAAATGCCAAGATCAAACAGAAAGTCCCATTAATTCACTTTCTAAACACTGAATATGCACCTACCTGACATCAGCTCAGGGTGCTTAGGCCAAGCTTATCACACACCACAGACTCTCCCATCCCGTCACTTCGGGGCGGCTTGCTGGACCTGGGGTACTTCTTAAAAATATCCATTACAGTACAGCCCAACAACCTATTCTGGGGTGTCAGAGCTATCTGGAGTTTTTAAATTATTTTTATTAATATTTCATTATTTAAAGTAATGCATTTGAATTCCCTGCACACCTGACCAACATGTTGGCTTCTGTTCAAGGAACATTCTGGTGAGAGCCAAACTGAATGTGTTGGTTTAGCTACACACAGCTTTAGTAGACCAGGTAGGGTTGGGTTTGATGCACCAGGAACACAAATCCTAAGTGGAACATGCCATTCCCAGAACTTCAAGTTCAGATCCAGAGTTAACTTCTGCTTACTTTGGAATCATTTTTTGTCACAAATAACTGCAGATCTGGCACACCCTTACAGGATACTTCTTGCAACAATGAAACTTAATTTTCCTGCTAAGTGGAAAAACTGAGTCACGGCAAGGTTTGTCCACTTGGCTAAACCTGATTTTCTAATTGGGAATCACAGTCTTTTAGTTAAGCTGCTGGGAAAAATGAAAATACAGCAGGGACAACTTGTTTCTTTGTTGTTAAATTGGTGCAGTGACCCAAGAATCTATTGCCTTCTCCCCAACTTTAACAACTGGGGATTTAATTAAAATYGAAGTAGTTTGAGGGGGTTCACAGCTGATTTGATTTCCCTGTGGTTTGGAGCAGAACGAGTGCCGCATGTTCCGTGTGCAGTTTGGAGGGAACTGCAGGGAGGAGATGCAGGAGCACTGCTKCAGCTGTGTCCAGAAACTCAGCGAGTACGTCCCAGTGCAGGGGGCTGAGGAGCAGAGCCAGCAGCTGTGCCATGGCCTCAGCCAGGACACGCAGGGCATGGACACAGAACATGGGGTGAGTAACAACACACAGCTCAGAGTGTTACAGCTGACCAAGTTTCTGATAGCCGTGAGATTGTCTCCAAGAAATAGGGGYTGGGAAATGGGTTATCCAGGGTGAAACATGATCAGAGCCATGAACTAACCCCGGATGTGCCTCCTTTCTGTTTACCTGCTCCTGGTTTGCCCTGGTAGTAACTGCTACAACTGCCTAATTACAATCTGAGCTTAACCTGGCACAACTAGAAGCAGTCTTGGGAGGAACAGAACGTTTCTCCTGTCCAAAACAAAGGCAAAGACAAACAGCATTTCCAAAGGTGATTAYTCCTGAATGTCTCCTCTATTGAGTATTCAGATCCATGGGAAGGAGGCAGTGTGCTCCTGTGAGCATCCATCCACAGCATTTTTAAAGTTACCCCTAGCAAGCAGATTATAACTTYAGTTTAGCCATGAAAAACTGCAGTTAAACTGCCATGTCTTTTATTTTTAAAGACYGGAGCAGATGTGCATGCAGGTTCCATAAAAAGATGCCTTTTTACTGCAGAAGGTAGCTGAGCACATTCCCTTCTGTCAGCTCTAAAAATGGAACCACTTCCCTCCCTGYGCATACCCACACCCTGCTTGGTAACAAGGCCTTATTTGCATTTGATATTTTCTAGCCAGAGGAGCCTCTCGCAGATTCCTGCACAAGTTTTGGAGAGAGGAGATCTGTGGCACAGCTAGCACAGGTAAAAAACAGACATCTCATGTTCACATCCTSTCACTGAGAACGAGCTATCTCAGATTCATAAACATCTGGGAAATGCCTTCCCTGAACACTGGGATGCCAGCAAAACATTGGATCTGTGCAACGATCCGGAGCCAGGGAATAAGCTGCAAAACAAGGTGTTTGCATAGGGATTTGAATGTCCCATTTGAATAGGACAAACGACACACTGAGAGCAGAGAAATACCCAGAGGCAACATCCAAATGAATGGCTCTGGCACAGGTTTGGCTCTGCAGAAACCACTTTTGTGGTTCAGAGCTGCAGGCTGAAAATATCAAGGAATCACAGACTGTCTCATCTCAGCTGCCCTCTGGCACTGGGAACCCATTACTCTTTGTCCTGTCCTTCCATCCCTTGTCCCCAGTCCCTCTCCAGCTCTCCTGGAGTCCCTTTAGGCCCTGCAAGGGGCTCTGAGGTTTCCCTAGAGCCTTCTCAACCCTGACCCACAGCAGAGAATCCCCATATTCCATGGACAACTTCACTGAGCAGTTCAGGGTAAATCCCTAGAAGTCAGCTGTTGCTCATTTATTGGGAATCTGGACCAGTGTAGAAGCAGATGAAAAAACCCTGCTCTTTTCTAACTTATGATTTTGTGCAGTTGCTTTTCTGATTCTTTCTTACCCTTCTTTCATAGTCACTGGGTGAGCACAGAATCCCAGACTGGTTTGGGGTGGACAGGACCTTAAAGGTCACCTCATTCCAACCTCACTGCCACGATGCCCAGAGTTCACCGACCACCAAGAGAGAAAGCTGGGAGGGCATTAAACAGGGATGAAAACCATACTTTAACACTAAAAAGCCCCCTAATTTATTTCTAAAGGACATTTAGCTAAATTAAGAGCTTAGAAGTGCACACTTGGTTATCCCTACACAATCCATGTAATAGCACGTACACCTCATGAGGGTGTACACTCATTAGAGTGGATATCCACCAGCAAGCCACGGTTCCCAGGAAAYTGGAGTTTCCAGGTTAAATTTCTAGCTTGAATAACTGCAGGCCAATATGATGCTGTAAAAGCTACATCAGAATCTGAGCAAAACCTCCACGGAGAAATCACRGCATTCTGAGAGCATCAGAGCCAGGGCACATCCAGGAGAGCTGGGGTATGGCCATGCAGTTGTGTCTGAGCTCGGTGCCACCTGCCCCGCGTTTCCCTGGCAGTCGGTGCCACCTGCCCCGCATTTCCCTGGCAGTCGGTGCCACCTGCCCCGC